AAAACACATTTATATAAACATATTTATAAAACAACTATATAACATATATCACCACATACACGTATTTATCAAAAAAAATTTAATATTGATCATAATATACATGCAAACATATATGCAAACTTTTAACAACTATAATGCAACATTTATTAGCATCAATTATTTTAAATGTAACAAAGAATGCAGACTACAATGCACGAGATTGTTAACAAAAATGAAGTTATGTCAGTCTGTATATATTTATCTAAAGTAATGAAAAATAATAAACCATTTAAAAACAGAATTAAAAAGTTCTAATGAATATATATTTAGATACCTTAAAATGAAACATAACACAACCCTCTTTTGACAAATTCCAGAACAAATTTTCTAAATTTTTCTATTCCTTATTATTTTTCCTAAAAGAAAATATACATATAGATATAGAGAAATATAAAATAGACTGAAATAAACGCAAACTTATGTATATAAGCTTACATGAACACAAAAAACAGTCTTATTTTATTTACCTTTTCATATTAAATACATATATAAAACTTTATAAAATATATAAAATAATATAACATATATAAAAAATATAACATATATAAAAAAATATAACATATATAAAACTTTATAAAATTTTATATATAATTCTTTTTGCAAAAAACAATCTTAATCTATAAATAAGAAAACAAATTGAACTTACTAAAAAAACCATCAGCTTCTCTTAACTGCTCTAAAAAATAAAACAATGCTTGCTTAAAATGTTCTAAAAAGACTAACGACAAAACTTAAAAAACTTTACTAAAAAAGAAACATTGTACTAAAAAAACTATTTTACCAAACATTTTAGTTCTACCTTCTTCTAAAAAATAAAAACAGGCTATAAAAATAAGAAAAAATAAAAATAAGCAACAACAAAAAAGTGTATCACCTCCAATTTGCTTGCTGATTTTACTCGAAAGACCGCGTGGAATTTATAACTGCGCTTAGAAAAGTTTAGAAACAACTTCAAAACTAAGAAATAGTGTATTTTACATAATGCAGAACCGTAGTTAGCAAAACGAACAATAGGCGTAACAATGCGTAACTATGCGCACTAATAGTAATAATAATAATAATATACATTCGGCTATTTATATTTAGACAAGTCTGGACTAAAGCATTAAACACTTAATACTTTATTTTAATGATATTACAAATTTATTACATATTGTTTAAAAAAATTTATTTTATTTATACAATTATTAGTATCCTATATATAAGTTATTAGTATATTATATACAGATTATAAGTTAGATATTTTTTTAAAACAATGGCAGTATCAACTATGAAAGTTGAGAAAAAATGTGCAGCCAGAGAAAAAGTGTATGTCTCAGAAGAGAAACGGTTGGTAATTTCAAAGTTAGAAGAACATAAAGATGTTCTTTTGTCTAAAGATGGAAAGGCGGAGATAAATAAACGAAGAAATCGTGTATGGAATGAGGTAATCCTTTATATTATATATATTGAATAAATAAATTAGTTTAGGCAGCATTATAAATTTTGGTACTTATGTGTATTTTAGATCACCGATGCTGTAAACAGCTTAGGATTTGATAAAAGAACAGTTACCATAGTTACCGGTGTGAAAGGTTTATGAGATAATCTTTTTAAAATTGCCAAAAAAGAGATTTCATCAACGAAAAAAATTCTGATGGGGGGGAGGACCAGCAGTAATTTTAACAGAAATCACCCAGAAAATATTGGATATATACGGAGAAAATTCTCCAATATTTTTTGGTTTGGAAGGGGTGGAAACCAATAGCATCGATATTGCTTGCGATATACAGAATATTATTAATCCAGTTGTGATTAATAATGCAAATTGTACAATGCTCCACACTGCAATTACATCAGAAAATGGGAACAAAGACAACACAGGACAAACTAAACGATATACTGTGCAAGATGATGATATTTTAAAAAACGAACAAAATTTGTCTGGAAAAAAAAGAAATTTAAAGTTAGGAAAGAAGTGCTAAAGCTACAGGCTGAATAAGAGTACTTTCTTTTTAAAAAGGAGTTAGTAGAGTTAGAAAAAAGAAACGTATCTATATAAGAAAAAACTTTTACTAAAAGAAGATTTGTTAAAAAAAAAAGGTGTAGAAAGGCACTTAAAAACATTATAACTTTCTTGTCAATTAATGTAACACCATTTTTGTAAAACTTATTTTTTGTATATTAATATAAGCACATAAAATTACTATTCATTTATTTTTAGTTGTGAATTTACTTAAAATTTCCCCATATATCCTAATATGAGGCGCTTTGTAAATAGACTTCTTCAGCACTGTCTTATACCGCTTATTAACAAACCGACGCGTGTAACAAAGCAATATTAATATTATACTTAATAACTAAATGATTTGCAAAATCGAAAGTGGTATTATAAAATCCGATATAAGTGACCATTTTCCAAATTTTCTGATAACCAATCGCCTAAAGATTAAAGATAATAATTTTTTTACCACATAAGTCAGACAAGAAAACAGCAATTCTATAAAAAAAATTACGCAATTTGATACAAGAAACCAATTGAGAACTCATAGCTAAGTGCAACAATGCGAATAATGCTTATGATCTTTTTATAGGCCTATTTTGTAAACAATACGAAAAAGCTTTTCCAAAGACCAAGAATACAATTCATTCTAAAAACCTGCATAACCCAAATGACTAAAGGAATTAATAATCTACAAAAAAGATTATTTGTAAAAAAAAAACTTTGATTAATAAAACAAAATATAAAAAATACAAAAACTTTTTTGAAAAACTAAAAAGATAAATAAACAAATAAATAGTTATTACTACAATCTACTCAAAAGTTTAATAGAAAATGCTAGAAAAAGATTGGATATAATAAAAGAAGTAACTGGAAAAAAGAAACTAAACATAAACACTGTTTTTCCAAAGCATTTAAAAACAAAAATGAGCAAAGATGTATTTGATAGAGATAAAATTGGTGATATTTTTAATAAATTCTTTATAAACTTTAGTAAAATATAAGCCGAAAAAATAATTTCTGTGAAGCAAAACGTTCAAGTCTTTAAAAAAAAAAAACACTAAGTTATGAATGAGTTTAAAATATTTTTGGATGAACTTTGAACAGCTTTAAACTCACTAAAAACCAACTAAAGTCTAGGCATCGACAAAATTAATGCAATTATTTTGAAATCAGTTTTTTATATTATTGATTTGCCTATTTTAACAATATTCAATTTTCCATAAAAACTGGTATTTTTCCCAATTGTATAAAAATAGCAAGAGTAGTCCCTATTTATAAAAATAGCGACAACTCTTTAGCATCTAACAATTGTCCTATATCAATATTTTCTTGCTTTTCAAAGCTTCTCGAAAAAATTTTCAAGTTTTCAAAGCTTTTTTCAAAACAATTTTCTTCTCGAACAAATTTTCAAAAATTTCAAATTCAAAAATTTTCAAAGCTTCTCGAACAAACTATGTATAATAGAATATATAACTATTTTGAAATAAATAATATTCTGTATAACAGAGAGTTTGGTTTTCGCAAGAGCCATTCAACATATCATGCAATAAATAAATTAGTCAATAAAATTTTGAATGGTTTTGAAAATAATGGGTATACTCTAGAGTTATTTATTGATTTAACCCAAGTATTCGATACAGTTGACTACGATATCCTCCTACACAAGCTAGTGATATATGGAGTAACAAACAACAGTCTAAAATGATTCAGATGTTACCCAAATAACAAGAAACAAGGAGTATCGTACAATTGAGCATGTAAACGGTTACAAATAATTATTTGAGGTGTACCCAAAGGCTCAATTCTTGGTCTTTTACTGTTTTTACTCTATGTTAATAATATCTACTTAATTAAAAACATTCTTTATATTACTCTTTTTGGTGATGATACGAATATTTTCTATACACACTTAACCATAAAAACAATATTTTGTACAGTTAATTGCAAGCTGCAGTTAATCGCGAACTTAAATTAGTGGTTCAAAGCTAATAAATTTTCCTTAAACATTCTCAAAACCAAATAAGTTTTGTTTCAAAAACCATCTAACCCTGTTAAATTACCACTTTAGCTTCAAGAGCTTATGATCAACAACATTAATATAGAAAGAGACCATTCAAGGAAAACCTCTGGGAATCATTTTTCAAGAAAATCTTAGTTGGAAGAATCATATTTTGCACTTCGAAAATAAAATATCCAAGTCAATCTGTATCATGCATAAAATAAAATACCTTTTAAATAAAACATGCTTAAAAAATATATATTATTTGTTCATTTACAGTTATATCAACTATTGCAATATCGTTTGGGCAAACACTTATTTTGCAGTACTAAAAATAACTGACTTTTCTATTTTGTCTTAAGGACCGCGGCTACGGAATTCGTTCCTTAAAGAGGAAATAAAAAACATAAAGTCGTCAAATACACCTAATTAACTTAGATGACATCAACATACTCTCCTATTTTTAAAGATCAAATTAATAATAACTAAAAGGAGTTTTTCCCTTTTGAATGACCACAAACGATTATTATATCACAATACAAATAGTTTTTATTTTCTGAACTCACCTATCAGATCGTTACGTACAAGGTTTTGCTTTTTAATTTAAAGTTTTTTTTTATTTCTACTGATTGTTTTTTGGGTTTGATGATAAGACTGCAGTCTTTTTTTTTCCTGTCATTACTTTAATTCTTTATGTTGTATACATATAAATGTATTAAAATTAATTGTATGTAAAGTATATAGTGACAAAAAAATATATATTTTGCATTACTTTATACCAATTTATTATTTAAAAAAGTTTTCTCAAGATTGATTTAAATTTCATTTTTTTAACAAGTTTGTACAGTAATTATGTCTGGTATTGGTTCAAAAAGTCTCATTTTACCCTGTAAATGTTTCAATTAGGGCAATTTATGCTGTTGTTTTTATTTTTTATATTATGTTTGTTTATAATAAATTTTTTAAATTTGTTTTAAG